ATTTGACTGTCAAATCCATAAACTAATGTAAACAAAATGCCTTGCTGATTCAAACTAAAACCATTTATTGAATAAATAACAAGCAGGTTAAATTGCAATCACAGGCGATTTTTTTTTTAACATTAATTTAAACTTTTATTTTTTGTAAGAAAAATACTTGCTATTGCAAGATAATGGAAACGTATCTTTTAAAGAATAGATAACAGTAAATTATTAATCACTGATTTCATTTGTAAAAATGGCAAGGTCATTTTGTTACAGAATTAAATGTTAGCTGATTAGAAGGCAATGTTTTTATTTTTTGGTCATTATCAAGAGCATTAACTATACACCCCACTTTATTTGCTCATTATCTTGGATCAAAACCTGCATTTGTTAGTTCACTAAAATCGTACAGAATAGTGAAAAAGAAGGCAAGAGAAAGAAATTGCACACAAAATAGCTGTTTAGATTATTAAAAATAGATAAAGATAAATGTTAGCAACAAAATTTGTGATATTTTGAAATATAAATTTCGGAGAACAAGTTTGATTTCATGTATTATTTATGCATGTAAAGATCTTACTCCCCAGCAAATTTGTAAGTTTTATTTAATTGTATTATCACCTTTGTACAAATAATTTACTTGGAACAAAGGAAGAAGGATTTCTGCAAACAAAGCAGGCAATAGAGTTAAAAAAGAAAAAAAAAAAAAGGAACAAGAAAAATAGTAAAATATGTTATGATGATGTTCAATTTGCCAATGAGACCAATGATTTATTTGCAAATAATCAAGCTAGCACATATACTGCTATAAATGATAGCCAAATAATTTTTTATTAAAAAAAAATTGCAACAAATATGAATTATGAGCATGATAAATTTTCAAATTCTTTAGCTCATCAATCCAAAAGAAATATTAAGAATTATTTTACAATTTCTTCATTGTCATTAACGTTAATTAGAAATGTTCAAATCCACTAAAAGATCTTTCAAATAAAAACATTTTGTTACTATCAAATAATGTTATATATTTTTATCAACATAATTCCTCACACAAGTAATGTAGTGGTGTGTTTAATTATGGCAATATATATTTCTTTACTTGAGATCTCAATTCAAGTTCAGTTGTGATACAAAAACTGTACATAATTATACCTTATGCTCTATCAGATGATTTTATATATACTATGAATTGTGAAATTTTTCATTAACAATGTTCTCTGGATGAACATTTAGTGACAGAGCTTTTGGATACACAGATGCTCAATGCATGGGGGAGAAAAAGTGACAATTGTATAAAACATTCTTGGAGCTTAGTTCTTCATTTCAAAAGTAAGAACATTTTTAAAAACTTTAGTTTCTATAACAAAATCAAATTAAATTTTGAGAATGAAAATAGATGACACATACACAAAACACAGATCAGTAATGTGTGTGTGTGTGTGTGTGTGTAAATACACACACCCAATACAGACTGGCAAAAATGTTCATCTTATCAAACGATGTCATCATATCAACAGACAAGACTAAATGGTTGGCAATACATTAATAAAATAAAAAAATTAATAAAATAAAACAAATGCACACTGACAAAATGTGATTTTGAAGAACTCAATTTTTTTAATAATCTTCAAATCTTTCAAATTGAAATTTTAACTCAATTCTTCCATTTACAGCAATTAACATCCAATAAGAGTCAAGCACAATGGGAATGGAAGATGATGAAATTCAAAAATGGTAGTAAAGTGCAATTTTGTGAACTTAACACTGAAAATTATCCTACAGCTATAATCAAAATAAAAAATATTTACATGTATCAGCATCAAATTAATGAACAAGAATTAAAATTAAGTTTCTTTATATAATAAAAACTGTAAAAGATGCTAAGCAATAAATGACTATAAAAGTGTATTTGTCTCAAGATGCTTGACTTTGCAACTAGAGAGAATTCTGCATAGAGAGAGACATGTGTAACCTATTTTCTTAAAGTATTATCTTATATAGTTCACAGAATTTTCTAACTACAGGTGAAGAGATGACAGTATAAGTGATTAGCCAACAAAGTCTATGTATATAAATAACTGGAAAAAATAGCAAAGAACCTTAAATGTCACCACACATCACCTGTAATAACTTATCAAGATTTATTTTTTTTTAACATTACTTTTTCTAGTTAAAGTAGTTATTTTTCTGGCAGTTTTTATATTAGAACTTTATCAATCATTTTTAAAAATGAAAACATCAATATTACATAATTATTTCTAATGTTTAATAACTTTAATAAGCCCATTTTTTAAGAAATTTTATATAAAGAATATAAAAAAAAAATTAATAAAATGAGGGAAAATAAATTAGTACATTTTCCAAATTGTACAGATGCTTCACATTAACAAATAAATCATATTAATTTGATAAGATGCTCAATGGTGACAGAATTAAACTATTGATAAGCCATATCAATCTGCTTTAAGTTACAATTTAACATATGAATGCATTAAACAGACTATGAATGTCCCAAATTGGTTCCCAAAGACAAATAGCATTCTAATGTATGACTATTTTGAGGCATACAAAATGAATCAGATTGGCAATATTGCTGATTAAGACTTTTATCTAATGAGCCATAACATTATTTGGATTGTAAATCAGACAAGACAAAGATCTTTATAGAAACCCTATATGCTTGTAATTGTTCATTGTGTTAATTTAAAAAAATAATTACAACAGGAGATAATAATGCAGCACCTAATAAGTATCAAATATTTAACATCTTCCTACAGTTCTCAATAGATAATCAAGTTACTGAATAAATATCTTTACCTGAAACAATGTTGTTTTGTTAAATATATATTAAATATTGCTTGTGATTAAAAATTGCAACTTATTTGTACAACTAATTTCTATTGCTTATTTTTATTAGACATTTTTCAATCCCTGACATCATTTTGATAGTAACCAGAAACTCCTTATTTAAAGTTTAATGACTTGCAATACAGTTTGTTTAAAAACAAGACTTATTAAAAAAAATAAATAAATTAAATCATGAATGCATAGACTGGTTATAGAGACAGTAATTCAGAATTAAATATGTAATTATTAAAACCTAAAGGATTTTATATTTATTATTTAAATTATTGAAAAATTAACTTCTCAACTGATGTAAACAAAAATTCAAGAAGTTTTTAGATATATTTTTAACCTTTTCCAAGTGAAAAAAAAAAAAAAAAAACTTTTACTTTCAGTAACTTAATTTCAACATATGAAATTGAATGTTACATTCATTGCATTCGTTTTCAAAACAATAATTAAAACTATTTTTTCTTATTTAAAAAAGTGCATATTACATTTATGAGAAATAACAAAAGCCAAGGTTTTCAAACTGTCACAATTTAGAATGCTTACAATGTTACTCTTCAGAGAGTTGAAAAAGTCAATTAACCTAACTTCATTAAAAATAAATAAAATTTTAATAAATTTTTAATGCGTGCCAATCCAATGAGAACAACATAACTTCTGTAGTTATCATAAATTCAAAATAGTGATTTTTCTAGAAAAAGACAGGAATCAACTAATTTTCTAGTTGGAAAGCCACTTTTTAGTTTTTAAGAAAATTGTGAAAACTAAGCTACAAATATTGGCTAAGTAAATGTATGCACATGAAAGTACATACTACAATCACAGAATATAAATAAAACAGTCAAAAACCAGAATGTAACGAGAAGGAAGATTTTGATATATTCAGAGTATCAGTAAAAGTTAGAGAAATATATCAGAGAATTCCATATATAATATTGTGTGTGTGTGTGTGTGTGTGTGTGTGTGTGTGTTTGCTAAAAATCATGCCAGAACTATTAACTATTAATAAAAATTATGTCAATATTTTTAAAAGTTACCATTTTTCAAAAACTTTTCATTTTCAAATTCTTATTTTTGCTGTGGTAACAGAATATAGAAAAGCCAGCTAAGTCAAAATTTAACATAAAACAATTAAGGTTAAAATTTTTACAAAGCCAACAGAAACAGTGTCATTAATTTTTATTAGCTAACACCACACAAAATTGTTTTAAACAGCCAGTGAAAAGTGACACTATTTTTCTCATGACTTTGTATTTTTTAAACTCAAATTTTGTTCTTAACACTGATTTGTTTTTGTTTCCTGTAACAACAAAAATATTTAAAATTATAAACATGTTTCTGCAAGACAGCTTTCAAACATTAATTAAAAAAAAAAAAAAAAAAAAAAACAGCCTGATTATAAAAATTCTATCTTCTAATACTTAATATTTAAAGTTCTTAATTCCATTTTTTTTCTTTTTAGTTCAATGAAAATATCAAACCAGATGCACCCTCCACAATCTTTTAAAGATTTTCTTGTAGTACAGTCAGAAACTTGAATATCTCCCCCCATATTGTTGTTAGGACACTAGCTGCCTCTCAGCCCAATGATGGCAAATGATGAGCGAGTAAATTATTATGAGTAGTCAATTCTTTCAACATGTATATATTCAAGTGTGTGTATGTTCATGTGTGTGTATGTTCATGTGTGTGTATGTTCATGTATGTGTGTGTTCATGTGTGTGTATGTGTATGAGTGTGTGTATGAGTGTGCAAATATATACATTTCATACAGGATTGACTATTGTCCACCTCATGACAGCAGTAACATAAGATGACAGTCAATTTTCTTGTTAGCATTTTTATATTTTCCTATTCAAATGTGTTTTTTTTTTTACCTCAATTTGCTTGAAAAAATTTTTTTTAAATTTAGAAAAAAAAAACTAAAATAAAAATAAGAGATCATTTTCTTCTAAATACTGGTACCACAAACCAAATAACCAATACACGATCAGTCCAAGATTTTTTTTTTTCTTTTTGGTGACTGGTATCAGCATACTCCAGAGCCAGGTGAGATTTAAAAAAAAAAAAAAATAAAAATAAAAATAAAAAAAAAAAATAAAAATTAATCACTGCAACAATTGCTGCCACCATTTTTGCCCACAGTAATTAATCTACTACTGCTAGGATATCATCATTTCTTGACTCTCATCTTCAACATTTGTGGATTTTGGAGATGACTCAGGAGTAATATATGAATGAAGGGGCAGCTGCTGACTGGATGCTGGCTGCAAGGAAACAAAATTCATTTTAAATACTTTATCTTAATACTTATTTTTATTTGCCTATATTTTGTATAAGAAAAATGTTAATACAATAAGTAAACAATATACAATTTCTGAATTTGTAATGCAAAAGGAAAAAAAAACATTTTCAATGTTTTTTGCTTTCTTAGCAATAAGAAATATTTTGTGTAACAGTTACTCATGTAGATTTTACAAGTAAGTGAGTCTATACTTGGTGGCCAATTGAAATAGGAATTAACTTGGTAAGTTGATATAAACATCCTAAATAGTCAAGGTAGGTAATTTGGATTTTACTAGCATACCACAGGTACCCTGGAGTCTGTGTTTTTCTTTTTGTTTTTCCTACTTAAAGCAAAATTTGCCATTTTGAAGTAAAACCTTTTCAATAAAATTTGAACATAAGTTGTTAAGAAGTCAGGTGTAAGGATGTTGCCTGAAACAAAAATGCCAGCTTAAAGAAAACAGAATTATCTTGAGAACATAATCAAACTTTAAGTGGATGTTTGAAGAAATGAATATGACCATGAGATTGAATCCAGATGAGACTAGATAGGCAAAAGCTGAACAAAGATTTCTTTGAGGAAGAAATAATAGATTGCTGTTTGACAATCATTCATTTTTGCAGTATGTGAACAGACAGATAATTCTTGAGAAAATAGAAAAAGAAGAGGTTTTAAATATTATTATGTCAGATGGAAAGTTCAATGCTAGGAAAATTATCATTTGACCAGATAAAGTTAATCAGATGACAGAATACTTGGTGACAGAATTATTATTAACCAATCCCAAGAGTGGCTGTAAGAAGTTCTTCTAACCAAGGGACACATGAATACTTTGAGGAAGGTTTTTGAACAAGCCAAATTGGGGAAAACTTGGCAAATCATAAATTAGTAAATTTTGATAAATCAAATTAACGTGAACCCAGCCATGCTGGAATACTGCAATATAAAGCAAGCTAATTCTAGCCCTAGCTGGAGTTGTGGTTTTAGTTCAGGTGTCAATAGAAAATGGTGAAAATTGACATCACCACCCCTCTTTACTACTACTTTCCACTACTCCTTTCAAGATACTACCCAAGAAGAGTTAATCAACAGAAATTTTAATTTACAGACTAACAATTAAGTGGAAAAGTCAAAAAAACAAGTTTTGAAAACCAACTTTGCCTGCAAAATAAAACCCAAGTTCTCTAATTGAATTGTTACCAATCTGAGGCATTGTTGTTGTTTTTGCAATATGTTTATAAAGTCACAGAAACTCAAGTGGCATCAAGTTAAGGTAGGAAGATTTTTGTTTTTCTCTAGTTAATACCATGAACACTGATAGGTTGTATTATACAGGATAAAATTATTAGTTAAATTATCTAAAATATCAAGAGACAAAATTGCTGAAGGATCAGAAGAGAATCTTAATGCTTTATAACAAAATTAGGCATAAGTAAGATATCTAAGAAGGCTATAATTTATAGGCTAGCAGAAGACAAATTGATAAAAGTTGCTTTATAAATATTATTATTATTATGAATGGAAAAAGGGGGCTACATTAGGAAGAATTGTCTTGGGAAAAGAAAGGACTGAAAAAGAAGCAATACAAAATATATTGTAGTCTGTCTGAGAAGGATTTTACAACCCATATTGGGTAGATATGAATTGATGTTCTGGGGGATGTAAAAGCAATGGACATAAGGAAAAGGATTGTCTTGCTAAACAAGATTTCCCACTGAAATGATATAATTAGTCAACAAAAATTTAAACTTAGAGGAGCCACCCTGAAATGGTTTGTTTAAATTCACAGAGATCACAAGGAGGAAGAGTAAGAAATGATTCCCCATTTCCCTTGTATGGTTATCATTTTTGACATTATTGATATTGGACTATCAATAATGTCAAAAATGATAACCATACAAGGGAAATGGGGGCATCATTTCTTACTCTTAATTGTACATTTACATGTGGAATTGCTTACAGATTAACCTGTTAGGAGTGTGGGGAGAGGATCCCATTACAAAAAAAAAAAAAAAAAAAAAAAAAGAATAATAAAGAGAGATGAGGGAATTTGGAGAAGGGAAGGTATATCACAAGGAGAAAGAGTGAAAGATAAAAGGAGAGAGAGAGGACTGAAAGGGAAGAAATTATGAAGCAGTAAGACAGACTAAACCAATAAGAATGAGAAAAAAAGATGCAAAGTTGTATGAATTTTTCATTCAGTGACCAGAACTGGTATGTGCAGTAAACAGATGCACCACAGAAGCTTTGGTCAATACTGGAGTGGTTGTATCAATAATAAAATGGAAACATTTGAAAAAATTGGATTGGAATAGAAGCAGTTAAGGCCTTCAGATTTAAAGATAACCTAGGCAAATGGCCAGTAAGTAAATGTAGTGGAAATGATAGCATCAAAGTGGGAAGATTGGAGGCTGTGTATACAACTCCAACTTTGAAGTAACCTTTGATATAAGGTGGTAATTGGCTGAGAAAGAGATTGGATTTCAATCCAAACTTAGATGTCCTTATAATTTGTTCATTTCATTACTGAAGAAATTTCAACTACTTTCCCTTAAGACTTCCTCAGATCAAAATCTTTAACACAATACGGGTGGGGAAGATCGATTGTTGAAGTGAAACTCCTAGTAATGGGCAACAAGGATAGTAGTAGTATATTTGAATTTATTTTTTACTTTAACTAAAATAAAATTTATCTATTTTTCTGAAGAAAAGATTGATAATAGAAGTTATAAAAAAGGGGAAATATATTTAAATTTTGAAATGATGTTTTGTCATAAAGAATTATAATCTGAAAAAAAAAAAAAAAAAAAAAAAAAATAATAGACATATCAACATGAAGTAAAACTAGAAATGTTATAAATTTGAACAATAAGTGTTTAAATGAAATATGAGATATTCAACTAGAAGAGGTAAGTACATCTAGAAGGAACTGGAAACTTTACATTTAATTGATGAAATAAAATTTACCAATCATTTTTTCAAACTCGTCATTTAAGAAAAAAATTAAATAAAACAATTTTAGTCTTCTTTAACAAAAAATAGCAAAACTAAAATTCTACTTACATGTAAAACAACTTGGTCAGAGTTGTGTGAGGAATTATTATAATGATTAACATGCTGGGAATGTATGTCATTTAATTGTGAAGATTCCATCGTATTATTTATCTTTGGTAAGCTGCTGCCAAAAGGATTTGGGGGATTCTGCACTGGTTGTCTACCAAACTCAAATCTGGACATTTGTTGAGTGACAGCTAATAAACCACCTTCATCTACATTTATTATAACCCAGATAACTTCTGCAAGTTAAATGAAAATGTCATTAAACAAAAAACCCATCATGAGAATACATGAGCAAATTTGGCTCATTAAATTTTTTAAACTTGACAACATATGAGAATTAAATCAGTCATAGGATATTTAAACTTGAGACATAAATTGGCTTACTACATTAAAAAACATGTTTTAAAAGTTCATTTTATAAAACCAAAATTAAAAATGTCAACAATCCTACTAGTATTAAATTCACAAAACTCAGATCTAAAGTAGAACAAAAGAAACATAAATGACTAATGACCGGATTAAATTTAGAGTCTATAAGTAAAAAGATTAGGAAAAGAAAAATCTCTTAAGTCAAATGATAAATGTGTCTAAACTAAATTGTATCTAAACTGTTCAAAACTCAAACAGATATGCATTACCAAAAAACTTGTTTGGTTTATTAGATAAAAATGGCATTTTTGTTTTAATTTTGGAAATTATTTTCTTTCACACAATTTCATAATTCCATCCTCCCAGAAGTTTTATCTTTCTCAGTTAAGAGCTGATATCATTTTCAGTTTTCTAGAAAAGTGAAATGATTTTCATTCGAACAATACTGTTAAGATTGAAATAAAATGTAATCCAAAAAAAGGTACAATATCTGTTAATGATGGCTATTTAGTGAAAACTTACAAGCCAAGCTGTATTAATTTTTACCTGGTCACAAAGATAAAAAAAGCTGTTTCATGCTATTCTGATGGAATATTATGCCCATTATATGTTGATTATTGTCTTCAGTTTGAATCAATCATCTGGTTCCTCAGAAATAGCAATTACATCATGTACACAACATCATCTTTGGATGAAGACTACCACTTGGTACAATTCATTTAGTGGTTGTTCATTTCTCTTATTTTCTATGTTGTTGGGAATATTCACTTTTCATTACTCATAATGATATTTCTTTCAAGAATGTATCTGTCTAGTCTATCAAGGGTAACATGAAATCATAAAAAACTATTTCAGTCTTCATGTATTCTTTTATCCATTTCATTCAATTTTCCAAGGAGTAGATATCTACTTTTTTATAATTTCTCACTGCTACATTGTCTGAAAATTTCTTAGCTTAAAGATTTTTATAATTCTTTCTTTTGATAAAGAACACAGATTGGCACAAAACAAATTTTCAATGTGCTCCTATCAGACTTGTCAGAATCATTCAGGATTTTCAACAAATGTCTTCAGTTTGACAATATTTTTCAATCATTTTTGCAATTTCCAGCAATGTTTTACTTTTTACAAGCTCAGAAATTATTAAACATTTCTCCTTATCTATCAAAATCAGCATTACAACCTATTTTAAAGTTTCAAGCTTACAACATGGCTTTAAATTTAGGACATTTTATGCAAATTGATGTCTCTAATTTATATCTGTGCAGAATGAAGTGACTTTCATACAAACTGAGCAAATAAATGTTATCATTCAACTCCCATCAGTCTTCAGAGTCAATCAAAGACAAAACAAATGCGCACAACAACAACTAAAAAAAGTGAGAAAAATACTACCAGAGAAACAGAAGTATAAATCATATACAGATTATATTTAGCCATAGCAGCCATTCCTTTTGCTTAAAGAGGAAAGCCTGTTTAGATTTAATATTAATGGTCTCAAGTACTTGCAGATGGTACTCTAAATGTGCTCTGTTGACCACAGTGAAAAACTTTTGGTTAAAGACAAAACACAAGTTAGATTATTTATTAAGTGTTCTGCAATCACAAAACTGGAAATAGTAACAAGCATATCCAAATTTTCATACTGCACTGATCAATCCATGCTTCTAACCTCTGATTAATTCTGTCAATATATTCAGCATCTTACTAACATTTGTAATTATAATTCTCTGAAGTACCATGATGGTAGAGCAGAAAATCTTTACAAATGGATTTTAGCATATGTTCAGAAGTGAAACCAAATTGTGGATCGGCAGAATAACAAAGCTGCACACTTTTAAGATTTGCCTTTTTTCTTCCTCTTCTTCTTTCACTTTTGTTTTATATATTTGTCTATATATTTAGATATACTTTTAAATTGTCCATTTTTAAAAGCCTTAATAAAATTTCTGATTTCTTCAGTTTGGACCATTTTTCTGATTTCTGAGGAGGATAGACACTGGATTTTTTTTAGAAAATAAGTTCTGTGTTACTGATTTGTTTTCTTCACTTACATGAATTCATAAGGCAAAAAGAGACTGAAATATAAATTCATGTATAGAGTCCCATGAGGAAGACTACATTCCCAAAGAAGTGAGGTAAAAATGCTCAACAATATAACTTTATTTAGTAGAAAGTTCACACTACTAAGCTAAAACTTGGATTGAACATAGTAAATACTTTTTATATATATATATATATATATATATATACACACACACATTGAGTGCTTGTGTTAATAAAATAGTGACCGATGTAATATAACCGTTATTAAGTATACATTAATAAATATACGTATTATCCCTTACTGGTAGCACAACTCAGAGTTTCATGCACAACACAATCTTCAGGTGTTGGGTAGAGACTGACCATTACATAATGTAAATTTTAATAAAAAATCTGGTTAACACAGTTAAATTTTTTTATTTAAAAAGTATATATTGCATTTAAATATGGCATTTTTATTTTATATTTATGTGGTGAATAAAGAAAACAGCAAGCAACCAGCGAGTAAATTCAAGCTCTCCCAACTGGTATTCCAACCTAGAGTCGTTCCTTCTTGAGTTCTGTCTCAAAATCGCACTAACAGACTTTTCTAGCCGCCAACCATGAATGTCACTCGAAGAACTCTCCCTCATTTCAAGTGCAGTAGCTTTACATGCTAAGCAAATACGGGCTCTTTTTTTGGAGGGGACAAGGCAAGTCACAACCAGTTGTGCTCGTCCCAGGTTCTGTCTCATGTCTGCCACAATTTAAAATAAACATGAATTAATATTTCATATTTAAAATAAACAAAGATTAATGGTATTTAAAAAATATTAAAATAGACCTACAAACTATATAAAAAAAATAATTTTTATTTAAAGTTGGGATTATTATTGTATATATTAAACAAATGGGGATTAGTAGATTATTTTAAAAAACTTTTGTCAAAAATTTTTATATAATAATTTTTTTATATAATAATAAACGTACCTAGAAACCATAAAAAAAAATTGTATATGCTCGATATAAGATAACAAAAGAAAAACAAATAAAAAATAAATAATAAAAAATGAGATGGTTATAATTTGCAGTAAAAATTAATCTGGATCAACATATTTCAACAGATATTTATTTTTTTTGCCTACATGTGATCATCAATTTATTTCTCTTGTTTAATAAATTATGGTTATTTAAGTGTATTAGGATAACTAATTTTTCTACAAGGCTCAAATTACATCTATCACCTTTCCCATTGTAAGATTTGGTTTTTGCTACAATATCCCATGTAATAATTGGTGTATTACCACCATTCTTTAATTGCCAGAAATGTTTGGAAAGAGCAGTGCTATTCATGTATCTTACATTGTCTAAGTCATTCAATGATGATAGAAACGAAATTTCCAATGATTTTCAGTGGAACCAAATAAAATTTGATGTTGTTACCAAAATGTATGCTAGCTCGGTCATACATTGGCCGTTTAAGGGACAGATCATATTTTTTCAGCAGTTGCATTTATTTGTAAAATTGTTAACATCGTTGTCATTATTTACATTAGTCGGACTATTGTCCTCATCTTTGTCGCCATATTTGTCACAACGTTTCGGCCGTTGTACACTCCGGCCTTCTTCAGGTGGTTGGAATTTCAAACTGAACCCTTTATTTCGATCACTGGGGTAGACTGTTCTAGTTCCAGGTGCCATGTTTTGATGGATGTCAGTTATCTCCTGCTAATTTTCCCTCTGAAAGTTCTCCACTGCCTTAACCAGGTATTGAACTCACCTTCTTTGGGTCTGTTACTGGATCTAACCAACGCCTTTATCCACTGTGCCATGTGTCCTCAAGGACACATGGCACTGTCTATCCCAGTGATCGAAATAAAGGGTTCAGTTCGAAATTCCAACCACCTGAAGAAGGCCGGAGTGTACAACGGCCGAAACGTTGTGACAAATATGGCGACAAAGATGAGGACAATAGAATAGTCCGACTAATGTAAATACTGTACATAATACCTCATCTCAGAAATATAGACAGACATTGTTGTCATTGTTGGACATATATTTATTTAGTATAATATTGTCATGATGTGATTTTGATGTTTTTAACAGCTATAACTGATTTTTACATTATTTTTGTTAAAAATCTTTGGTATTGCAGAGTGATTAATGTGTTTATGAATTAAATATAGGAAAATTCTTCCAATATTCATTTTAACATTACAATTTAAAGTGGGTGGGGGTTAAACCACAGCACATTACAGTGTGTTTATTTTTATCTTTTTTGTTTTTTTTTCTAAATATTCTAACTTTATAGTTGCTTTTATATATTTCATTATCAAATATTTCCTTATTGCTGGAGTTAATAAATAATCTAACTTGAACTGATTTATGCAAATTATTTAAAATATTGTATGGATGATTGGACTCATTAACATGTCTGTGGTTATGTAGATCTTTAGTACACAGTTTGTAATAACTAGTATTCAAATTCAAGGTCACATTGACAATTCAAAACAGAAAATAATTCTCCCAGTATGAATGGCCATTGGATAAGTCACATAAGTTGAATGATTCCTAATATAGTTTATGGTTTCTAGTTATGTTCCTTGCCTTGAGGAGAATTGCAAGCACAGTTCCCCTTGAGATCCTTGGTTAGAAAGTTGTCCCTTTCACGATCTCGTCTCTCTCTCTCTCTTGGTCATCATAGAAGGATTTGAGAAAGGCTTTTACCTGGCAGTGGACTAGCAATTGCTGATAATTGGGATTATTGTATACAGTGGGCTCACATTTTACACGGTTTTAAATAGTAGTTTTAAACATACGCTGTTTGTTTTTGTCATTTCATCCCATGCAAGGGGTTACTAAGTGTGAAAGAATAAGAAAAAAGTGAAACATTAAAGAGTGAGAAAAATAAAAGTGCCTCTTTGTTATTGATTCATAGTCATGGAGTGGATGATGAGGTTTAATTTCCTGCTTCAACTTTTTGAGGTGGGAGCGGACTGTACTTATGTAAGGGGGAGCAATGTCACTAAGCAAGTAGAGGTCATCTACTTTGGTTGGCTCAAGGCATCCAGTGATCGATCTGAAAAAGGTGTTTAAAGTAGGGTCAATTTTCTTTGTGTGTAATGATCTGATCCACACTGGTGAGACATATTCTGCTGTGTAGTAGCAAAGGGCTAAGGCTGTGGTACAGATTGTACCAGCATGGCCACTCCATTTGGTGTTAACCAGTTTCTTTAGGATGTTGCTTCTTGATTCAACCTTGGCTTTAGTCTTTGCAATGGGGTCCTTGTACATAAGGGACCCGTCCAGAGTGACCCCAAGATAGATAGACTTGGGAGTGTGCTCTAACCATTTTTCATACCAATTGATCTTGAGTTGGCAGTTAGTTTCCTTGTTTCATAGGTAAAAGGTACTGATTTGGGTTTTGTCAGGGTTGGCTTGAAGGTAGTTGACACCATAGTATGGAATAAGGTTGCCCAGAGCACTGGTGAGTGAGGTCTCAACTTCCTTGAAAGCATAGAACTTAGTTACATCTAGCCGATTCAATTTTAAATTAATGAGACCTAGTTGCCAATCTAGTACTGTCTAGGACTATAGTGAAGAGTTCATCCAAAAAAAATTACCATGAAAGTATTTATAGAAAAGACACAAAGAAGCTACATTATGGTAGTGGGAAACTGACTGAAGCTAAAATGCTAGTTCAGGACCAATAATCTTGCGGATTCTTCTTTGGATTTTATCAAGAATCTCTAAATATATAGCAGGAGGACTAGACCATATGTGGCAACAATATTCAAAACATAAACAAATGACAGACTTATAAATATGTAAGATAGATTCTGGAGAGAAAAGTTGTTTAGCACAGCACAGTGAACCAACTTCCTTAACAGCCAATCTAGACTTCACATCAGCCGAGAATATTATTCTGAGAAGGCGCAATGAGTCACTCTCCTGTAGGTTAGCATCAGCCATGTTTATGGGAGGCAGAATGGAGTATCTCAGATGATTAGTAGAAGTTTCATTTTGAAAGTGTTTATTAAAAAATTCAAAATGTTTTAAAATTTTTAACATCCTGTTCCACATGTAACTGCATTACCTAATGTAAGGAAGAAAACTACCCGCTTCTGCTATTATTCTTTTTTGAAGTTTTCTTTACATTAAAGAGTTTCTAACTTGCTTATTACATGTGTCATGTTTGTAGCATTTGATAATTGTGCTATTTTTGTGTTACAATATTGTTTGAAGAATGACTCCCAAAAAGCTAATCGTAAATATACTTTATATCCTTGCTCTTAGTGTAAGAAAGCTAGATTTGATAGATCTGTTTTCTATGGCTTATCAACCTTTTGCAGGTTATTTAAAACCAAGAACTACTTTTAGATTGTAAGAATTTAGAAGGGGAGAGAATAATGATATACTGTTACAAGTCTGATTGATTAATCCATAGCTGAGAGGAGAAGAGGTGAATTCATATCTTTCCCAAGTGAAAATAATGAACTTACTGGGATTGGAACTTGGCTATCCAATTAACAATTCTGAATCTTTATCCATTACATCACTGGCACATCCAAGCTTACAGCACTTTGTATTCCCAAGCGGTCATCCATCTAGGTACTGACCAGGCTTGACATAGCTTAACTTTGGTGAGCATATGGGAACCAATATAAGAAAGTCAGAGAAGTGTTAAGCCTCCAACTAAAGTTGCAAGTGCTGGATTAATTGAAAACCATATGAATGGCAGAAGTAGCATTGTAAAGTAGAAAAATGAGTGTATTAACCATGTCATAAAACAAAGAAAAAAAAAAAAATGAAATTTGCAAAAAGAATTAGTTTTTTGCTTGTAACAGTGAAGATGTTCTCAGGTTGTAAAAAACAGAGAAAGCATTGATTATGTTGCTAGAGAAAATGGTGCAGAAGAAACATGTCCTTACTGATGGAAACATTGTGTGAAAAATGCATTTAGCCTATGACACTGAGGTAACCTCAAGATCATAGGAGAATCACTGTCACCTAACATGAAAACAGCATAAAAGTTCCCAAAATACCTCAAAAATGTAATCAAGGAAAAAAGGTATCATCAAGAACAAGTCTTTAACTGTCATGAAACAGACATTTTCTATCACCCTAGGGCCTGGTCAGCATTCTTATGCCAACTACACCCCAGGATTTAAAGCTTGGTGCTATGCTCTAATCATATGATCAAGCCAAGTGTACAAAGACAATAATGTCCATGCTCTTAAGAACAAAAATATGGTGCCCATGTTCTGGCAACAATAAGAATGCTCGAGTCATATTCACTTTGTTACACAATTGATTCCGCTACTGCCCTTGAAAAATACTTTGAGAAAAAAATGGAACATTATTCAAGGTCCTTATCGACAATGCCATACTGAAACTGTTATTTTTGTCAAAATTTGTGTTGCACAATGCAAACCCAGATTGCAGTATAATACATTGATGGAACAGCTTCACAATTGCAGATACCATTGAGCTTATTGCCAATTTTGTTGATATGTTAAAACCTCAAAGAGTCAATACCTGCTGGAGGACATTATGGAATCAGGCAATCAATGACTAAGGGCAACCCTAGCAAATTGCCATGAAAGTTGCTGGGGAAGTCTCTGACATGATCAAAGAAGATGCTGAACAACACATCAAAGAGCATCAAGAAATCCTTATTGATGAAAACCTGGAGGAACTGCTGAAATTGTTAACAGAAGAGGAAAAAGCTGAAATGAGGGTTCATCTATGACTGTAGCAATTTTTCACCAAGCCCAAGTTTAGAAGAATATGTTATGTTCAAAGAGTATGAAACTTCAAGAAAATGAAGTCTATGTATTACCCATGCAATCACACCAAACTATAAGTGTTAGAACTGTTAGATGAAGCCAAGAGAAAGCAGTATCATCTTGTGTTATTTACCTAAAAATCTGCACTTGTGAAACCTCATTCATCTAAAAAAAATCCTCAGTCATCAACTTCCAGAGATCTTGATGCTATGCCTCCTCCAAAACATCATAAGCATTTTTATAGAAAAGTCTTTTGAAGAAGTTTGGAGATTTGAGGAACGATATTTAAAAAAGAAAAATTAGGTATATTGATGGGTAAGCATTAACTCTAAACTAATTAATACAGACTTATAAGATTTCAAATATGTTAGAAAATTAATTAATAAGATTTTGGGAAGCAGAGTTAAAATATGCAAGTACAAATGACAAAAATAAATCATCAATTAAAACTATGAAGACTAAAGTAATCTATCAAAATGAAATTCTATTAAAACATTTAGTCATTTAATTTGCTAGTATATTGCAATTTTTCTTTCCATTTTTAAAAAGAATAGTTTAACCTCCATATACACACATATACAAACCTCCAAAATAAGAACCAGATGGTGTAATCATGCGCCATTGTCCCTGGTAGATTCCTGTCTTTGATGGGCTCACCATATCTACACTGATGTCAGTCATCTGGCCAGGACCAAGGCTACCAGACATTACTCTGTCTACATGAGTCATTTGATCACCATAGTAAAATTTTAAGCAGCAACCACTGGGCCAACTATCCTCTCCTGAAGAGAGAGAGTGGGGAGAGAAAAAAAAAAAAAAAGAATTAAAGTGAATACCTCAAAAACACATACAATAGGTGGTAAAAAAAAGTTCTCAACCCAACCCACTTTTCAAAATCTGACCAAATATCATTTTTTTTTATTTAAAGAGTTTCTTGATCTGATGAAGAGTTTTTCAGCAACCCCTTATACATGATGTGCTCTTTCATTGCAAAGAGAAAAAAAAAAATCATATTTGAGTTTGTTGAAAATAAATAATGCACAATTAATAAAAAAGAAGATGGAAACATTAAATCTGTAGTGACATAGGCAAAATAGACTTTCCCTATTTTTCATAGAGTCCAGCAACCACTAAATAAGTCAGTCATCACTCCATAGGTAGAGAACTTCTATACTAGAGGCATCACAACAAAATTTTTACTAAAAACCTTTGTAAAATTAAAATTTAATTATTTTAATGAACACAAAAATTAAATAATTACTATTTTTAAAAATAAAAAGATCATCTAAACATGTATCTGATATTTAAATATCAAAAAATTATTTGGGGGGATAAGATTAGAGTAAGTTTTGCTAATTTGAGAAAAATGTTCAAGCTCTAAAATTTGTTAAATATTAAAAAAAATACCTAAATACATTTATATTAAGCCTCTACTACCATCAGCATTTGTTACAAAGAGTGTCACTAATATTATGGTATATAACACAGTTCCTCATTCCTAGAATTGTATCAACTACAATCATCTAGATTTTAGAAAACCAGGGAACAAAAAAAAAAAAAAAAAAAAAAAAAGAAGGAACAAGAACAAGTGTTGTATCAATGAGAACTATTTTAACACTATTTTAACTCAGCAGTGTTGAGTTTTTCTGAACTCAGTGTTAAAGACTGAACCAGATTTTATACATGCAAGACAGCAACAAATCAAACTATAGTTCAAGGTGTCATAAGTAAAATGAGCCTAGTTTCTCCTAATATTGTCTTTAAAAGGAAAACTCATTACACTGAATTCAATCCAAACGACAGTAATGTTGGAAACTCAGAGCTAACTCTTACATAAATCATTCAAAACCAATTAGTCAATATCAAAGTGGGGTGACTAGTGAATATTCCTCTCTTAGCCTGTGGGTTTGATCGATCAAAAGTGTTATGGTGGCTTCACTATAATAGCTAAAGGTTTAGGAAGGTAGGGGATACCAGCAATCATTTTATTCACACCTTTGAATAGTTCACAAAGGGAATGTTTTATGTCCCCCACTTAGGTCAGCAAACCCCTGGGATTTCTTCAACCTGTTTCTATCAGAGATCAACAGCATATTACAATATATGTAAATTTCATGAATTTCAAATAATATTTAAGAGTTAAAGAGTTTTAAATATAGTCATATAAAAAAGACAATCATTTTGTTTCTTGTGCCAATATGAATACAAAAAAATAAAAACAGTCAATCTTAAAACATCAGCTAACAAAATTCTAGTAGTCCTCCCAACCTATTTCCCTTAAAAATTAAGAGTCTTGCATTAAGAAATCTTACCTGAATTCTGTAACCGCCAAGTTTTTGTGAATTTTGTATTTGGAGGTACAGACTCTCCCTCTCCAACTGTGACATCTTTAACAAAAGACATGGACGGTAAGCTGGTTCTGGGTTGCTGAATATCATAGTAAGAGCAAATAGCTGCTTGCAAATTCCTGAAAGGAAAAAGCATACAATATAAATGAAAAATATATCAGATCAGCCACTATGATGTCTTATGCAAACTTACATGTAGAGAAATTTTTATATACATTGACATTAAAACATTCTGCATTATTTTTTTTGTTATTGATCAACTGAAACAGCAAACAAAAATAAAAAAAAAGACTCATCAAAACATTTTGAATATTTGAAACTATCAACTTCTTTATGATTCAATGGTGACATTAAATGGATGCTGTTTAGAAAATTGTGGGATCTTTTACATTTTACCAAACATATTTGGCATCTCTACATTTAATATTATCAAGATATACAAAAAGCTTAAAACTGTCAAAATGATTTTTCCACACAAAACAATAAAATTCAGTTATAAAATTTTATTCAGGAATACTTAATTATAGTTTTAAATTAATTATGAACCAAAACCAAATAATTATACCTGAATCAAGAAATATATTTTGGTAGAGTTCTCAATTTTAAAATTTAGATCAGCTAAAGGAACTGCTAACCTCAAGAGAATCCTTTTGTTGAAAGTTATGTTGATTAAATCTTACTTTGTACTCTCTTGAAAAAAAAAAAAAAAAAATTAAACATTCGATAAGTAATTTCAATCAATGTCAAATGTTTTCACAGTTCGCTGTTGATAAATCACACTAAATATGTATATCAAATATGTTGCTTTCAATAGGAAAACTGAAAATTACTTCAGTATCTGTCTATATTTCCAAGATGAGGTACACTATTTACATTATTCAGACTATTGTCCTCATCTTTGTCCTCTGCTTACAACAGCAAGCAAAAGTCATAAGTAACGACCCAGAGACATTAGATAAAGAATTGGTCAGTATGAATAGTACCCTACAATGTAACAACTACCCTGGGTACATGGCAGCAGCCCCAAAAAACTGGGATAGAGGAGGACAACAACACTCAGAAAACAGTCTGCCTGCCTTATGTGAAGGGGTTATCAGAGAAAACACAAAGGATCTGCGGTTCATATAACATCAGGACAACCTTCAAAAGCTGGAATACACTTCGCAGATCTCTCCCAAGTAAGACCCTCCCCATAGAGGAGAATATGACTAAAGACTGTGTGTACGGAGAGAGAAGGGAGATCACCGCCCTCTGTGGGATCAGGTTGAGATCATAGACAACGTACACCACTGGAAAATTCGTAAACTTAAAGAATCAGCACATATGCTAGGCCACAAAAATCTCCTAATCCGACCAAGCATAGAAATGAATACAATATGGGAACCAGTAATAAGGAGTGCCAGAGAAAAGTGATAACAACAACTTAAATTGTAATATGAGCTCTGGTAAAAACATGCAATGATAACAGCAAAAATTGCAATATGAGCACTGGTAAAAAAATGGTTGCTGAAGACATTAGGTTTATAATACCCAGAAATTCATACCCAGATGTCCTCAAGGACACATGGCACAGTGGATAAAGGCATTGGTTAGATTCAGTGACAGGACCCAAAGAGTGTGAGTTCAATAAGGCAGTGGAGGGGAATTAACAGGAGATAACTGATAACTGACATCCATTAAACATGGCACATGGAACTAGGTCTACCCCAGTGAGCGAAATAAAACATTCCAACCACCTGAAGAAGTTCAGAGGACAATAGTCCTGTAATGAGTTGGTCCATCAACTGGTTCCAGAAATACAAAAATGAATTGCAGCTTTGGATAGCAAATGGCTGGCTTGCGCCGTACCCTGAGGAGCAGCTAGGGTCGCCGCGAAGACTGATTCCGTTGATGGCAATAGTGCAAGAGAATAAGGGGAAAGTGAGACCGATCATGGACTACAGGGAATTAAATAACTTTGTAGATGCATATACGGCCAATGCGGACGTTTGATCCCAGAAATTGCGGGAAAGGTGACAGCAAAGTAGCAACGTGGCCACCCTCGATTTAAGAAGGTCCTACCTCAAAGTCCGAGTCCACCAATTACTCTGGTCCTTTCAGACTGTCATGGTAAAAGGACGGAGATATTGCCTCACTCAATTGGGATTTGGTCTTAATGTGGCTCCAAAAATCAGAGATTATGAATGTAGTCATGTCGCAGGATGAGGAAATTCGAAGGACAACGTCATCCTACATCAACGATGTTTACGTCAATGAAAACGCGGCCTGTCCAACAAAGGTTAATGAACATTTAGAGCACTTCAGCTTGGTGTGCAAGGCCCCAGAGCCACTACAGGATGGAGTGAATGTACTTGGACTACACGTCAGTAGTGATGGAGAAAAACTTCGCTGGAGACGAGGTAGTGATGTCCTGGAAGTCCCGCCAGTGATCACTTGTCGGAGTACCTTCAGCATGTGTGGGAAACTGGTAGGCCATTTTCCCATATGCGGTTGGCTCAGAGTGGTGACAGCAGCCATAAAGCGCTGCATAACTTGTTTCATCAGGATGGGACGACGAGGTGCACGACGTTACCCTAAGATGTCTGATAACTGAAACTATGGAGAGAGTGATGCAAGACAATCCCATGCGAAGGTAATGGTGCGTTAAGGGGAACGAGCTCACCGTTTGTGTGGATGCCAGCTCGTTGGCCACAGGTGTCGCCCTTGAGGATAACGGGTCCATCAGAGAAGACGCCTGCTGGCTACAACCTGAAAATGATGTATGACACATAAACCTGGCTGAACTAGACGCCACTCTGAAAGCAGTTAACCTGGCGCTCCAATGGCAAGATACAGTGCTACACATCGTCGTGGACTCGGCATACACTCAGCGTTGGATATCAGATGCACTTACCAGAAGAGCGCGACTGACCACCAAGGCATCGAGCGAGATGTTGATACAAAGGCGGCTCACCACGCTGATTGAAACTATCAAAGAGTACAACCTGTCTATGGATTTAGTGTTAGTTAAATCGTCAGTCAACAGAGCAGATGCATTGACTCACATTCCGCAGCGTTGGTTGATTGCTGCTCGGAAAGTGTCTGAACCTCTGCAGTTGCCGTGTATGGCTTTTGCGTTCAGTATGGACCTCGAGCAGATCATGAGCATACGTGAACAGTGTGGGCATCCCAGGATTAAACGGGCGCTCTACTTCTCGGAGATCGTCGACCCAGCAGTCAAAAAGGCGGATGTTAGGACAGTAGTGCAGAGGTGCGAGGCGTGCCAGTCAATTGACCCAGCACCGGTGCAATGGCAAAAAGAAAATTTGAGTACTACCCATGTTTGGAACAGGCTGGGGATAGATGTTACGCATGTTGGCAGCCGCTCTATTTGACCATTATCGACTGTGGACCCTCTCTCTTCGCCATTTGACGACTACTGCATCGGCAGAACACTGCCAGCATAATATATCAATTGGAGTCTATCTTTTACGACCGGGGGCTACCTGCAGAAATATTGACAGATAATGGTGCGGTGTTTTCTTCAGAGCAATTCTCGCAGTTCTTAAGGAAGTGGGGTGTGCAGCTTCAGTTCCAGTGTGCCTACGTGCCGGCAGGAAACGGCATAGTAGAAAGGAGCCACCGGTCTATAAAAGTGATTGTAGCCAGGAAGCGATGTTCGATCCCCGAAGCAGTCTATTGGTATAATGCGATGCCTAAAGAGGGTGTTTCACCTACAACAGCACCGGCTAACATGGTGCACACCTATTACTTATGGCTGCGAGGCGTTGACATCGCAATGGCTCTGAGTGACACGCAAGCAAAATACAAAATGCCCCAAGTTGCACGGTGTGCGATCATGACAGCGAGACACAGGATGAATCTGGAAATCTGCCACCTTGGAGCAAGCGTGTTCACACGTGTGGTCATCCCAATATGTCAAGCGTGCAAGTTGCATATATGCAGATGCAGTCACCAGACAGACGCGACCATCTCTCGAACTGAGAAGCTTTGTGATCTTAAGATCAGGGGGTGGGCGTATAATGAGTTGGTTGATCAACTTGACACCCCCAAAGCGAGTGGAGGTGGGCAGGTGCGGGAACTGTGATTGGTAGCTGGCTTGTTGGTGTTTTGCATAGGCGAGTTACCAAGCTCTATGTAAAGGGCTGGAATGAACAGGAGGGCAGTTTTTGTCTTAGAAGTGGAGACTGTGCCCGTCGCTACAACAGCAGGAGAGAAAGAGACGAAATCATTTATTTTTTCGTGAAACATTCCAACACAAGTCCAAATGATGGAAAATAGTGAAAATTACTTATAACATTTTTAGAAACATCATGACAATTATTTTAACTTATTATGTACAATATATATTCCTTTAAAAATACAATTTCAAGATTCAAATTTTAAAACAAGATTTTACATTCATGGAATAGGGCCATTAATCTGTAGGTTTTATTCAAGTCATCATCAGTTCATATTATATAGGCTACAAAATCCCATATTACAAAAAATGTTTCATGGACCTGAGCAAGTTTAGGAAAAAAAAGAAACTTAATTACATTAGATGCATTTAGAAAAATTCAAAACAACGAAAATAAGTTTAAATAAAAAATAACTTTTTTTTTTTTCTTCGGGATTATACTACTAAAGTGTCATTTATAAGATTTTAAGTTCAAAGTTATGACCAACTATTAATTACTGAATATCAACAAGCTGTCATGTACTAATTAATCATAAAATACTAAGTACTTAAATTTGATTGTTTTAGATATTAAAATAAAGATTATTTTAAATTACTTTTCCAATTTCAATAGCAATTGAAACAGTATAACATATCTGTAAATTGCTTTAAAAAGTGCAGACATTAACAAATACAATTTAACTATTTACAATAACCACAATACTTTTCCAGCATATATGTCCTAGTAAGCACTGCTAAAGATAATCACAAGCAGATAAGCATGATGTGAACACTTCAGTTATAACCAGGTACAATGTGACCTCCAATTCTCTTTCACATCAATAAGATATATAATTCTGCCTCCATTTTCTGAACAAAATTCCTTAAATAAATCTCAAAAGCTTCATACTTTTGTATTGGTATATTTAAATTTTAATTTTTGTCAGCTTTAAAAAATAC